CCCCCCCCCGAACAGCCCTCCTCTCCTCCTCCCGTGCCCTCCTAGCCTCCCCATTGCCATCGCCAAGGGTTCCCAATCTCCAGCCACCGCCACAGCCCGGTTCTGGGCTCGCTGCTGGGCCCCAGGAGAGCGTGGGGCAGGTGTCCAGGCTGCGCGCCGCCTCTGCTCCCGCAGCCACCATCCGAGCGCCGGGCGTCTGCGTTCCCCGCACCCCCTCCCCCACCCCTTTCCCGATGTTCAGTCTCCCGCAGCCGCGGTCGCTGCATCCTCAGCGACAGGGAGACAGCCGGCGCTGCCGCCAGGAGAGACACCATGTGACCCGCACTGCTCAGTAACAAGCAGCGTCGGTTCCAGAGCGGGCGCGCCTGGGGGAGGTGAGCGCGCGCAGGACGAGGAGGAATGGCCTGACTCTCCCCGTTAAACCCTCACAAGCTATGGATGCGCGCGGGCGACGCGGCCCCCGGTAGGAGAATGACTGCGATTCGAAACTCTCAGCGCCCGAGCGTGTCGCAGTAAGTGCGAGGCTGGCTGGCGGAGTGGCGGGCTGGAGGGGGTGGGGGGACTCTGATGCAATCCGCCACTGAGGAGGAGCAGAGCCAGGGGAGCGCGGGGCAGAGGCAGCCGCGCCGCTCTGTCTGAAGGTCGACGGGAACCTCCTCCCTTCACCTTCCTCGCCACGCCGAGCTTCCGCGCCCAGCCCTCGCGGACCGAGGCCACATTTTCCCGGCCGAGGCGGCTAGACCTTGACACAAAGGACATCACACGGCCGGCGGTAAAATCCGGAAGGGCGGACACCTTGACATCTCACCTTTTTGACACTTTTCCCTTTATTGCCCGAGGTAGGGGTGATTTTCCTGGCTCGGGAGAGCCGAGGGAGCGGCGGCGGGAGGAAAGGGATGCTGGAGACGTGCGGGGAGGAGGCGGTAACGTGGAAGTCATCCGTGCGGGCCTGAAAGGAAGGGATGCGCGGCGGTGCCGGATGCATTGGAAATGTGCTTTTGGAAAAGTCCAGGTCTCCTGTTGTTCCGAGTGCACGTGGCTGCGTAAGGAGGCGCGGAGGTTCCCGATTTCACCTTCGCCTGGGCTGTGGCTTATTTTTTGGTTGCGTTTTCATAGTGGCCGCGCGTGTGGCACCCGACCTGCTTAAACTACACGAGGGTCAGGGACCGCGCGGGTCTGCGGGGAGAGCGCAGCCGAGGTGAGGGCGCGACTGCGTACCCGCGGAGTGTGTGCATGCTGGGCGTTGGGGCTAATTTCCTGTGTCCGCAGGGCCCAGCGGGGAGCGTGTGATGCCCGGGGGGCTGCGCGCGGCCGGCCGGGCTTCCAGGACTGGCCTGGGAGCTTGAGTAAACCCGGGCGCGTTTGCCGACCCTTCCCGGAGCCCTGCGGCTGTCTGAGTAACCGAGAGGAGTAGGAGGATGCGGGTGGAGGTCACTAAAGGGTACCAGCTGTGACTCACTGTCCTTTCCTGCCCTGAGGGGGTTCTTTCCAATATCAAGAAGGGGAGAAAGAGAGAAGTGCCGCTCCGGGAGCTGAGCGCGCTGGAACTGGCGAACAAAAGGCCACCGCTTGCGCGGGGCCCGGGCTCGGACTGTCTGGCTTCCACTCCACCTCCTCGGCCCATCCCGGCACCTTGCTCGCGTCCTTAAAAATGTTTCCACAAAAGGCCTTCTCACTGGCCACGTCGGTGCCGGGGCGAAAGCGCTCCACGGCCCGAGTGTGGGTCCCGGGGCGCTCGCCGCCCCAACCCGCCCCCCAGAGCGCTGCGCGCCTCGGCGCCCACCGAGACCCCCTCGACGCGGGGCTGCGGGATCTCCCGCCCTCCGATTGGGGCAGAACTAGTCAGAGAAGGTAGAAGCGCCTATGGCGGCAAAATTTCGCGGTTACGGCTTCACGGAGTTCCGGGTGCCTCTCGCAGGCTGCCGTGGGCTGCGGAGGGTGGTGCCACAATTGGGAGTCCTTTGTATCGCGCTCTGCGCCGCAGACCCAGTTTTTATCGCCCTGTTTCTCCGGCGGAAACCTAACTGCCGCCGGGAGCACGTCCTTTCTCAGACGAATCCAGGGGGCTGGATGGAGGCAAAGTCAGAAAGACCCCAAAGCTAGGAAACGCTATCTATGGATTTGACATCTCTGAGGTGGGTTTAAATTTATTTTATTTTACTTTATAACATAAGGGGGAGGAGAGACTAAATCTATGGTTTGCAGACGGCAGGGCCCAGCAAGGCTGTAATTTGTCACCTTGATGGAAGAAACTGTGCAACAACTCGTGCTTGTTCTGACGTCAGCAAGACAACGGAAAGAAAACCTGAGCTAGGTGGCTGGCTGCCCTCATTGTTACACATCTCACGCAGGGCTGGGACCCCAGAAATCTATGCGAAACAGTCAGCTGGGGGCACTGATCCTTTGTCGACCCCCTGGATTTTGGTCGAGCCCCAACCTCAAAGGACTTGACTCTTCAGTCACTTCCGTTCTAAGCATCTAGAAACCCGCCAAGTTTGCTTTGAGGTCTTAACATCCATGAGGTCTGTTCAGTATAAAAAAACACAAACTATATTCAATAAGTGTCTCCTATTGGGGGGCTTATTTTGTGGCAGGCGGGACTGACAAGATACAGTTCCTATTTCTGTGAGGCTTCTGTTCTCCTGGGGATACAGACAATAAATGCACGTATAAATGAATTTCAGATATTTGTTAGTGCAAGGAAGAAATAAAACAGGGTCATGTGGTGAGGGAGGGTGCTCGAGCTACATGACCCTCTAGGAGTGCCTGTGTAGAGAGGGTGGCATTTGTCCTGAGATTGAAGAGGCCAGGCATCGTCAGGCTATTGCTAGTCTTGTCTTTTCCTCGCTCCAGATGATACTTGAGGGCAAAACCAGTCTTACTCATCACTGGCCCCTCACGTCCAGCAGAGTAGCTGCTTAATAAAATGCCCATTGGATTGAGATCTTGGTCAAGCTCCATCTCCTTCACCTCTTTGTGCTGTTGGTGACCATCCCTTCTTTTCTGCATCTCATTATTTGTTCCCCTTCTTTCAAGGTGAAGCGTTAAGTCTTTTTCTGCTCTGCTCCCCTTTCTCTCTTACCCACCCCTCACTTCTCAGCAGGTGCCAGGCCTTTGCAAATGCCCCTCAAACTTGTCTTCTTATCCCCAGTTCCAATGTCCCAAGTTCAAGTCCCTGTCGCCTGACCTGGACATGGCAATTCAAGTAGGGTGTTGGGATACAAGAATCATGAAACAGACATGGAGATACCCTGAAGAAACCAGCGCTCAGGGGAGGAAGTAGCAAGTGCGACACGTGGTTTAAGAGTGAAGTAGCAGCCTTCTGGTTGGTCTTCTCCATACCGAGCTCCCCTGTTTCAGCCTCCACACTTCCATGAGATCTGTATTTCTAAAACTCAGTTTGCACTTTTTAATGACCTTGCCTCTGAAAACCCTCAGTAGACTCCCATTGCCTACAATTAAAGTATAAGTTCCTTAACCAGGCACTCAGGACCCTCCACAACCTGACTCCTCACCTCTTTGTCCCAGTTCACCCTGTGCCTTCTCTGTCACTTTTCTCCCTCACTGTCAATGTTGATTCCAGACTGGAATGCCTGAGATTCTATATATTTGTGAAGGCCTAGCCCAAATTCCAAATTTCTACCTCTTTGAATAAGTGTTAACTGATCACCTTTTAGCATTTTTATTAAAGATTTGTTTACCTTTTACTGGTGGTTTGCACGATTGTCACTCCAGGTGATGGGACTGGGGGATAAGGCCACAGGCTTTGAGTGAGACGTAAATACAAGCCGGCCCTTGGTATCTGTGGTTTCTGCACCCCTGGATTCAACCAACCGCAGATTAAAAAATACTTTTCTAGAATATTATATTGGGGGGAAGGAGTCAGTGGGGGAAAAGGGGGACATTGTAATATTTTGAACAATAAAAAAATTAAAATAAATTAATTAAATGTTATATTGTTGTCAACATGTACCTATGTAGTTACTTAAACCTACCATGGTTGCATCTGTACTGAGCATGTACAGACTCTGTTGTCTTGTCATTATTCCCTAAACAATGTAGTATAACAAATATTTACATATCATTTACATTGTCTAAAGATGATTTAAAGTATATGGGGAGATGTGCTTAGGTAATATACAAAATTGACGCTGTTGAATATAAGTGACTTGAGCTTCTATGGGTTTTAATATCCACAGGGGTCCTGGAACCAATCCTCCTAAGATACCAAGGGATGCCTGTACCAGGTCTTAACTTACCAGCTTAGGGACTTTGGGTAAGTTGGTTAGCATGTCTAAACCTCAGGGTTTTTTGTTTTCCATTTGTATAACGGGAATACTGATGATAACGATGATGATGGTGGCAGTAGTGGTACCCATCTTATTGAGTTATCCTGAAGATTTAATTAAAATAATGGATGTGAAATGCTTGGCATGGTGTTAGCACTCCATATATATTGAATTAAAAGGAACTTCAGCCCTAGCCCGTTTGGCTCAGTGGTTAGAGTGTCAGCCTGTGGACTGAAGGATCCCAGGTTTGATTCCAGCCAAAGGCACGCACCTTGGCCAAGGGCATGTACCTCAGTTGCAGGCTTGATCCCCCTGCCCTGGTGGGGGTGTGTTTGGGAGGCAACCAGTCGATGTGTTGCTCTCACATTGGTGTTTTTCTCTCTCTCTCCCTTCCACCCTCTCTGAAAAAGCAATGGAAAAAATATCCTTGGGTAAGGATTAAAAACACACACAAAAACTTCAGGTTTCTCATCTATCATAGAGAGTAGGGAAAGTTTATCAGTAAAGTTCTCTTTACCTCTGATATTCTATGACTATTTAATCATTTAAAAATATTTTTCTGAAAATAATATCTTGATGGAAACTACCTGACTCATTTCAGCCTCTGGGAGACTATGCATCTGTGAAAGGTCAGTGTGGGGGTGGGGGAAGTATGTGCATGGAAGTGGCACGTTCAAAATCACATCATAGACCTCAGAAAACACACCTTGAACACTCACCCTAACCTGAGTCATTGTTATACTTATTTCTGAAAGTTGGTCATATTATATTAATTGGTTTTCTAGTGACCACCTGTGTGTAGGTTACTCACTAACAGTAAAGGGATTTAGTGGTTAGGAATGCCCCATGGTTTGGGGAAACCCGGGTTGCAATCAAGGAACTCTGCCTCAAGTGAAATTACAATGTGTCTGCCAATAATTAGCAGACTCTTGGGCAACTCATTTAACTTTTTTTTTCAAATATGTTTTTATTGATTTCAGAAAGAGAGAGGGAGAGAGAGATAGAAACATCAATGATTAGAGAATCATCAATCTGCTGCCTCCAGCACCCCCCC